ATTTACGATAAAAATAAAACTCTCCTGCCAGTCATAGTCTTTTTGAATCTTACCCTTGAATGTTAACATCAAGGGATTAAAATAAGTAGGACAGCTTTTGATCTGACACTAGAGCTGATCGCCGCATACTCTAGTGCGATGGAGTTCAGAGCAGAGCTTGGCTTGGCTCTGAACTCTTGGGAGAAGTGAAGAGTCTCCCTGTGTCTGGCGTGTGGAGCTACTGAGGGAAACAAAAGTTTTAAACTTAATTCAGAGATCAGAACAAGGGGAGGAAAAAAAGAGAGGAAAAAAAAAAAAGCTGCCTGTGGCAGATAGAGATACAACTAGCAGTTCCTTGGGATTTTATGCAACTTTCTTCCCTTTTTGTTGTGAAACATTTTTGAGTGTAATTGTGAAAATGTCAAAAGTTAGAGTATCTCCATTAAACAGTTAATTGGGAAATGCAGGGAATGAGGGTCAGTGATATTTATAAATTACGTCTTCTAAATTCTGCACTGGATTTACTTGATTTCATGCTGTGCTCCCAAATCCACAGCACTGCATGTTGATATTTATTGGCTGGCTGAAATCTCTTTTTTTTTTTTTCTGCTAATATTACATGTTCAGGATGTTTTCCTCTTTTTGCTTTTGCTTACTTTTTTCCTCCCTCCCCAAAAAAGAGAATAAAAAAATCCCAGTAAGAGACAGCTAATTTTAATTAAAGTTTGGAAAACTGGAGAAAGGAGGAAAGTTCAAAACATGTGGAGTATGTCAATTCTGTAGGTAATATGGTTTTGTTATCATTGCTATGGAGGAAAAAATGGGTTTCTTTTGACCTTTTTGATGGAACTTGCAGCAACAACAAAAAAAGTGGATTGGTGACTAACACTGCCCTTGCCTCGTGATGTTTGAGTGTAATGGTAATACCACACATCCCTGGACATGACGATCATGGCCAAGCTGTTTTCTTTCTCAGCTCCTGTAGTTTTCTGCTTTCTCCTGACTGAGAACCCATGAGAAAAAAATGATTTTTTTTTGCATGATCTGCCCCCAACACATATGCACAAACAAACCCAGGCTCCTCAGTGAATGCACTGGCATTCCTCTTTTAAAGGGAATATATGTGTTTTTTGAAGCAAATAGGAAATCTAAAACACAAAACAAATATTGGTGAATATAGCCATTCTTCAAAGCAAAAGCAACTAGGAACCTAGATTAACTTTTTACTATATTGTCGAGATTACAGTTAAGAAGAAAAAGAGTAATTTTAATCTACATCAGTGTTAAGCTAAAGTTGTCCTGCCTTTATGAGGGCTTTTTCAAATTACACCCTCATGGTCTGCTGTTGGAAAAAGATTTCAAAAATCTACTCTTCTAAAGTACCAGGAGTGCAATACTGAGTTTTGCATGTGTTACAATTTGTATTTTAGCAAAGAGGATATCACTGCAAAGCTTATTTGTAAATGTGCTTTGTGAAGTTGTCCTTTGTACCCTCCGACCAGGCAGAGGTGAAAGACTAGAGCTAGAAACCGAAAGCAGACTTTGATCCTATTAACATTCAGGCCAAGGAAGGGGGAAAGTCACCTTGGAAGGGCTTCAAGCTGGAGAACCAAAACTGTTGCTGGTGTTTGAAACGCAGTGAAAACCTGCAAAGTTGAAAATGAATCTTTGAAAGGAAAGATAGCATATATTCAAAGTAAATCCAGCCAGTCTCGCTGAGCTAGGGCTTCACTAGTTCCTTTTTACACATACCTAAACCCCAGACAGCGCTTTCCACACACTGTGTTGAACTGAGGGTCAAATCAAGAATCAATATTGTACTTGACAAAAAAAAGTTGATGAATAAATATGAAGGGACTTTGACTTTAGAAAAAGACAGGTCACTTTGTTTAGGGATTTTTTTTTCGGTTTTGCTCTTACATCGATATGCTGGATACTTTCAAATGGCAGAATTTTATTATATTAACATTTAATGTGAAATAAAGTGAATAATGTGAAAATACATTTAATCGCAAAAAATATAAATGTGAAAATAGACTTACATTTATATTAGTTATCTGTACCTATAAAGTGACCTCCAAATGAAATATTATAATTTGTGATATATTAGAAATTACAGCCAGCCTGAAAGGGTCTGCAGTGCAAGACTACTCATGCCATGATTATTTTATACAAATTCAGAGCTGGACAAATAAGAGCCTAAGAAATTCTAAATTTAGTTGTATAAATAATTACTGGACTAAATAAACTTTCATGTTGGTGAACGAGATTGAGAGAATCCTTATTTAATTACAGTTATAGTTTGATATTTTGAAGAAAAAAAGCTATCACCAGCATTAACGGTTACCAGTTTTGCAAACTGTATCTGCAGACAGCCTTTACTTGCATACATCTGTATGCGTCATCTTAATACTCCACCATCTCTCAGCATTCCTCACAAGGAAGCAACAGTGTGTAAATCTAATTAAAAACAAATAATAAAAATAAAAATAAACAGCTTTTGCAATGTCCACATGATAAGTGATCCACAAGAAGGTCTCTCTGTGAGTTCACAGGTTACAGAGCTTAACACACTCCAACTCAAACACTTAACAGACTCCAACCCATTCATGTAGCCACATAAGCAGATCTCACTCCCCTGACCAACAAGCGAGACCAACAAAGGAAATACCCTGTCCTCTCCTCTAAAAGGAGAGGGAAAAGACTGAGCTTTTGGTGTGACCCAAGTACAACGTTTCCTGTCCTTTGCCTTCAGGATAGCACATCGCAGAACCCCCAAATGCCACCAGCACTTGGGTTAACTTTCCTTTGGCAGAGCTCAGAAAGATTTCTTCCAGGAAAGGGCCATGAGTGTGGGGTGCAGGTTGTGCTTTTTTGTTTGTTTTTTCATTTGCCTGGAGCAAAACAAAACAAAATAAAACATTTTGTTTTTCCACTGTAAGCGAGCTCTATTAGTCCTGTAGCTGATGCCTCCTGAGATGGCCAAATCCATGAGTATCACGGGCAAGCCCAGGTATCACTTGCTGGTCTCCTTACAATTCTTTCCCAGCTGGATTCTCTCCTTCATTCAATACCATGAGACTATTCAACTGATCCAAACCATTATCTGGGCAATAGATTTATAAGATTTACTATTTATATTAAGCCTAGTTTTAGAGATAGTAGCAAATAGAACAGATCAATAGTAATGCCACTTGCATGGGTCTAGTGTCTGCCTCCCACGAACAATAGGGAGGAAGAGCTTTAAGGCCTGGAGAATGCAAAGAGCTGCCTGGACCTGGATTTTTCTTGCCAGATTCTCTGCAACACCCTAACATCAAGAAAAAAAAAAAAAAAAGTAATTACATCCAGCTACTTCTGACAGGCGTCTCTTTTGCACCTGGAATTACCTTAGGCTGGCATGGGAAGCCAGGCACCAGAGTCAGTGCCTTAATGACACGTCTCCATTGTCATCTTCACATCGTCATGGCCGGCATTTCAGTGGGTCCACGATTCCATTGGCTATTTGAAGTTGGTCATCTTTGTGCTTTGGCTTGGTACTTATATAATTTGGTAACATCAAGAAATTAACTTAATTCACATAATTAAAAAAATGTAATTCTAAGCACACAGAAAATAATATTTTCATACAATATTCTACATATTTTATTTTGATAGGCATGGTAACTCCTGCCTTTCTCAACTGTGGCATAATTCCTGCCCCTCCACAACATACTAATTTTACCACCTGAAGCTGTAAGAAGCCTTTGACCTAATTTGTCCAGGTGCCAGAGCTGTTCTGGTCAATTTTTAGGCTCTTGGAAGAAATCCATGGCTACAGTGGACAAAGTAAAACAACCTGTGATGTTCTGAGTTTGAAGCCAGAAATACACTTCCCTTGTCTACCAATGCGCAGGCAGCCGTCACCGTCCATCTGTGTTTTTCCTGACCTTCAGCCAGGGCCCATGCTGTGCCTTGGAGTTCACCTTACAGATAGGCTTGCTGGTTGTCCATATAGTTTGCTTTAAGGCATTTGTTTCTAATGATTAAGGACACCGGCTTAAATGCACCATACCAACTGGCAGTTTATCACTAGAGCTGTCGGACAGCTTTGTGATCACTTCTGGGATTTGAGCTGTAGATCAGATGGGCATTTTTCCATTTTCATGAGTCAACAGAACTATGTTTGGGAGGGTAAATCTGGCAAAGGTTTGAAAAATGAGACCTGACTAGAGTTTCAGTTTGTTCCTTCCTTGCCTCTAGTAAAAACTGATTCCTGTACGAACAGCTATTCTTCAGACATATGTATATATATGTTCCTATTTTTGAATAACCTGCTTTTTAGGGTGTTTTGCGCCTTTTGGTGCAGCTGGGAAATCCTGCTGCTGTGGAATCATCTCACACATTTATATTAAGATGAGACTCACTACCCTCTGAGAAAGCCCTCTGTCTCAGCCATAAGAGAAACCTGGGTAGATCAGCTCACCCACAAGCATCCGTTTCCTCAAATATTTATGTTAAAGCAGATGAGCTCCCCTGTAGCACTACAGACTCGCACAGGCAGATTTCCACTGCAGCTCCTTTTGTGCTACCTAAACCAGAGGGTTTTCCTTCACTCTTGCTGGACTAAGACATATCTGGAGCTAGTACTGTCATAGAGTGTCATAGAACAGGGACAAATTTTTCACACGTGTCCCCATTATGAATTGCTTTAGAGCCACTGCTTTAGCTGTGGTGTCGTGCGTGATTTTAGGATTGTCTTTTCTGTACTCTGAAAACTTCTCTGTGCGCATGATTTTAAATTACTAAAACATGTGGAAATACTGCAGCTTGAAAGAGAATGAAGGAATAATCAAATGCAGAATTCTGGCATAGTCTCTAGCATGAATCTCCCTCAGGCCATGAATCTCCCTTTGTATGTCACTAGCATGTCAACCATTATTGGTTGCATCGTTTTGCAAATTATTAATAAATAACCCAGAGAGGTAATGCTCTTTGCTACCATGTGCCACCAGCCCATTTCCTACAATCTGAATCTCAAGGGTGGATTGAGAGGGGCTTTTTGATATTTCTGTTTTACAGCACCAGTGCTGTAGAGGCTTCCAATGGAAAGGCTAATATTTTTGATGAGCTTTTGTTCGCTATTATCCAACACACTGCAAGCACCATCGTAAGTACATTTTTAAAAATTAATTTTTCACTCCTAAAAAAAATCTATTGAAACAGAAAGAGGAAGAGTTTGTGTACTTGACAGGTAATCAGCAATATCCTTTTCCTGGGACTCTGAAAATTTGTAAAGCCTTAAAGAGGTAAAAAGTCTCTATAAAAAGTAAAATGTTTTTCCAAGGAGAAAGATCTCCACTCAATAAGGTATAATCAAAAATGTTCTATTAAAGCATGATGTACATGCTTTTATTTTGGCTTGTTTATCTCTAGCATTCTGACGGTTACTAGAGGATCAACAAATCTTGGAAAAGAATCACTGACCTTTCTGTAATTGATTAAATACATTGCAGAAAGCAAAGTTTTTCTATCTTTGGGGTTATGATGTGCCTCTTCTCTGCTTTAGTGAAGATTTTTATGTGTTAGTTCATCTAATTGGACAGTTACCTTTGGGGAGAAAATAAACATTATAAACTTTCTCTAAAACTTGTATTTTCTGGACATCTGTGTGAAAATCTGCCAACATATTGGTCAATGTATCCCAGATGATAGTACATGTATTTCTATGTGGTTTTAGATTTCTTATTACTGCCCCAAATGTGGTGCACTTGGGCATACCTGAGACAGTAACAGTTCAAGTTCACGGAGCCCAGAGCCCTGTCGAAGTTACAGCATACTTCAAAGATGAGACAAAAAACAAGCTCCTATCAGCAAGGACCATCTTTAACCTTAACCACGGGAACAACTACCAGCAGATCAAAAAAATAACGGTGAGTTGGCCATTTTAATAATGTAAATCATAATCTTAAACCAATCAAATATGCTGGGAATATATTGGAACAGAGAAAATAGGTATTGTTAGAGGAAGATAACAAAACACCAATCCCAGTGGAAGCAGCTCTCTATTCACCAAAGCCGATATTCACTGATAAAATAATGAACAACAGGGAGTGCTCTTTTATACCCAACAAGCAAGTCCAAGGTTTTTACATTTAATTTTTGGATCTGATTTCTTGTTTTTACCATTTCTCTGGCTCTTATAATGCATTCATATCCATTGCATGCTGGCTATTTCACAAAATAGAGAAAACCTTAAAAAATGCAGTCTCTTCACAGCTTGTGAATTTTATGTAACCTTGTAACTTGATAAACTGACTCTACTTTACACTCCAATTTGCACAATTTGCATCTTTTTTTTTTTGACCTTATTCTTTGAAATCTTAGAGTATTTGGTATGGTTTAGTTTGATTTGGGCTATTGAAGTCAAAAGAAAAAAGTACACAGCAAGTGCCTGTTTAGCTCTGACTAGTCCCAAAGCGAGAGCTGAAGGGTGGAATCAGGTTTCTTTTGCACAGGATGTTTTCAGACATCCTTGCCAGGAGGCAAGGATCTAATTTCATGATGAAGATTTTAGCAAATGAAGGATTATGGGAGGCTGCTACAGCTGCCAAATGGCATGGTAACCAGAATATAACATACCCGTAGAATGAAGAAAAAGTCACTGGGCTTGATTTATTGTCATTGGAAAGGAAAAGGTGTCCTTTTCCATAGTTCCACATCATAAAATGGGGAAGGAAATAATATTTTGCTGACAAAGAAATATTTGCCCAATAGAAAGACATAATTGATTATCCTTCTGTAGAACAGTACTATTAAAAAATATAAGTACTTTACCTGTTGCTTGGCCTTTCGGTTGACATACCTCCAAGTTATCTACCTGATTCTACAGGGTTTTTTCTCTCATTGTTTTCAGATCAATCCGGAAAATGCGAATACTGATATGTTCAAGAGGACAAGGCTGCCCTATGTTCTGCTGGTCACCGAAAGCAGGCACCTTTTCAGGGAGGCCGTTCAAACTATTCGCATCCTCCTGTCTTCCAAGAAAGGCTACATTTTTATTCAGACAGATAAACCTATATACACGCCAACTTCCAAAGGTTAACACACAAACGCTGCATTTCAGATATTGAAAATAGATATAACAAAAGCATAATTGTAAAAAGCAATAATAGGTTGATTTTTCCAAAATAGGCCGCAGATATTTATGTGTACACCACACTAAATCTTAAACCCATGTTTTGTGGCCAGGGCTTCTGCAGGCTCTGCACTGCCCATCATGGCACCCTCACGTCACGAAGTACCAAGGCAGTGGAGGAGTCTTTCTATATTTCTTTCTTTCAAGAGCCAGAGTAAATCTTTTTCCTGAAAAACAAACAAACAACAAAAAAAACCATAATCATGATGTTCCTCAGGAAAACAAGATAAAATGGGAGATTTTCCCACCCTCTCCCCCCCCAAAAAATTTCCTTTGTTTTGCAGTTCCTGACATAACATATTTTGCAACTTGTGGTCACAAATGTTTTACTGCTTTTAACAATTATATAGGTAAAAACACTAGAAGGTCAAAATTTAACAAACTTTACCTTTAAAGTCAAAAAAAGCAGTTGAGTTTGGCTGCAGTCCTTGATCACAGAAGAAGTACAGCACTGAGGTGATATTTGCCATATATTTTTCAGAAGTTCCTTCAAAAGGCCTAATGTATGTGGTCACTCATGTAATGCTCAAAGCTTATGTAAGAATGCAAGTTCTGTCCTTGAAATTTCTCACATTTCATTTCTTGAAGAGAAGGCGTTTTGTCCGAAATTCAGAAACTGAGTTAAAAGCATGTAATAATTACTATCTAGAAAGAGAATAGAGAGGCTATAAATGAATATTACAATGCATTTTATTCTTCTGTTACACAGTAAAATACAGGGTCTTCGTTTTGGACAATGCTATGAGGCCAATAACTGACTCCATTCAAGTTGCTGTGGTAGTGAGTATGCAAAGAGCAGTTTTATCAAGTGCTTCTTTACCATATTCACCATTAGGAAGCTCTACTAGATTCAAAAGTGGGACTATAATCACGACTCCTCTCCACATTGCTCTTATTTTGCCCTCGCATTGTGAAAAATATTTCACCGAACCAGCTCCATGGGCAGCTTTGCCTCCGCTTCCCCTCCCCGAGGCATAGAAGAACAGTACTGGTTTATTGGACAGTTCTTCCTTTTTAAATAAGGAGTGGCATTTGCATATTATGTATTTACATATTTCTACTGATTTTGGCCAACATCAAGAGTAGAGAGGGAGGGGTGAATAACTGGGTAAGAATATAATAGACCACTCTCTCGTGGTCTCATGGGCTTGAGTTTTTGGCCATGAATGTTTGGCACCTTCTGTATAAATTTGTATTTGCTTGTTCTCTCCTCAACAGAACTCAAAAGGAATGGTGGTTCAAAAGTCTGAACGGAGAGTAAAAACAGTGCTTAACGAACGTTTTGAAATACCTGATATTGCTGAGTATGTTCCTGTGTCTTGCTTATGAAAAAAGTCCTATGGCAAAATGCCTCTTTGCAGCAAAACTTTCTTCAGGCTAAATCTGTGCCTTGCTTACGAAAAAAGTCCTATGGCAAAAGTTTGCAGCAAAACTTTCTTCAGGCTAAAAATGGTTTCCAGGACAACTTCAGGGACACTGTTTTATTTCATTTATTTTATACGTATTAGCACTTTTTTGGAGCAGCAGAGAAATACCAAGTACATTAGAGCAGCTAATTTTGCTCTGATCGCTTGTGAGAGCAGCTGTGGTGTGGAATTAGAGCCAGTGGTGGCTGCTAGACATCCGCCTTGATCATACGACTCCATTCAAGGAGTACCTACAAATTCCACTCGGGAAGCCTATCTGTAAGGGTTCCAAGTGTAATTAAATGACAAAAGAATTAAGCCTTTACTTAGTATTCAGTGTTCAATTGTGAGCTAGAATAAAACTGATCTCATAGCGTAGATAATTAAAAGCCAGTATAGAATGAGCTCTCTCTTTCTGTGGGCTTTTCAGAGGTATAGCATGTTAAATGCAGTCTCAAGCTATGCTACCTTGCTGTTTCTCATAAATGCTTGGATAATGGTATCCACTATATTTGTTAATACTTTGTTAATGTTAATAATTTGTTAATGCTTGCTCTCTCAAGCAAAGCAAAATTTGTTAATAAATTGGTTTTGTATATGATCAAAGCAAGCAAAATACTAGTATTCAACTTACTGGGGAATTTTCAATTTATTGGGGGTTTATTTTTCATATTTAGAGATAATTTAAATATATTAGTAAAATACAATATCTGAGAAGTCTTAATTGTTTTATGCAAAATCTGAACTTTAGACCTGGAACCTGGAAAATCACGGCCCGGTTTCAAGATTATGAAATGTCAAATGCTTCAGCTGAATTTGAAGTTAAAAAATATGGTAAGAGAATATTGAATCTGGAATATAAATTTATAAAACCACCACTACTTGTTAGAAGATATACTGCAGTGATTGTAAGTGGTTCTATTTAGGTACTACAGGTGTGATTCAAGGAGTTCCAGTTCATCATTGCTAAGTCTGACTGATGGAATAATGACTTTTAAATCTGACAGCTTAAATTTGCTACAAGACTTATTTCTATATAAATTTAGTAACTTCAATATTTTTTGGCAGTGCTTTCCTAGTGCAGAAAAAAAATGCAGAATATCTGTGAAAACATGTTTCCAATAAAAATTGGAATAATAGAAAAGTGATGATGAGTTTCTTAGCAGTAGACTGCAGTTGCTACATTGGCTGAAGCTGTTGCCACATTCCAGAGTCTAAGTGTAGAAATTCAAAAAAAGTGGAAATAATTACTTGATTTCTTTGTGCTGAATTAATGTTTTATTTTAAAATTCGGTCAGTTTTCCTTTGAGACAAGAATTATAAGAAAATTGTATTTTTACAAAACAAAAATTTTGCTTTAGCAAAATCTGGTGAGAGACCAGTAGAAACTACTGCAAGTTGTCTGTGCTCAAGAGCAAGCATCTCTCTGGCTACCTTTATAGCAGCAAGTAGTGTAGCTTAGTAAGAGCACATTTGCAGAATGACACAGCTGCTGCTGAGGACCCTATGTCCACACTAAATATATTTTGGGATGGAGGGGGATATTTCAGACTGGTTCTGTTTCTTTTTTTCTCTGCAGAGCTACCATCTTTTGATGTCAAACTCATCCCACTCCAGCCATACTACCACATTTGGAACCAAAGCTTTGTCTTTGATATTGAGGCAAAGTAAGTGTACTCAAAGCAAGGCCATTTTAGGAGGCACATGGAAAAGCATATAATAAACCCTGCTTCTTCTTCCTGTCTTGGTCATTAATAGTTAACTAGTTTCTGGTTTTACTTGAATCTTACTTTCGACTCTTAGACTATCTGTTTCTACTTTGCTACTAATTTGGGACAATAGTGTAAAATGCTATATAAATCCAAGTAGTGGTGATCAAAATTATACCAGATTTTCTGATTATTTTAGGTTATTAGTAAAACAATGATGAGTTAGAATTCTTTTGGCAGATGCATCTAGTGGTAGATGAGACTCTAGAGATAGGAACATTTTTTTCTTTATCCATTTTACTTTAAACATTTCAAAACATTCTAGAGCTTCAGATGTTGCTTAATGTAATTCAGACAGAGGCAGTCCAAGTTTGGAAATGAAATTTCTTCAAAGTCCAGTGAAGTTTGGCTATAACAGGCAAGTTTTTAATTGAGATTAATGTTGTTGTTGTTTTTAAGAAATACTATCAGTTGAATAAAATAGTTAGTCTCACATAGTTTGTGAGATCTTTGCTGTAAAATGTGCCTTACTGCATTGACCTGTATAAGACAAGGTTTCACAGCTCCCAGATTGGCCAAGCCAATTCTACTCTGTACAGCATAAACCTCATCCCATATTTAAATTAGGATGTCATCAATATTCAGTATCTGATTACTTCAAAAGCCACTCAGTGTCAATTTAACCTATCAAAATATTCTGAATACCTCTGAAGATTCACATTGAATCTGTACTGAATCATTATTTTATGTTGTGAAGTTCTATTATTTCTGAGCCCACACTGACAGACCTAAATCTAGTTTTACAACACGATCTAGCAATATTTCACACATGTATCAGGCCTCCCTGGCAGTGGAGTTTTCAAGGCTCTTAATATTGCAAATACTAAGTAACTGCATGTTTGGAGCATGGTCTTGCTTTATTTAGTGCCCAGCTGGAATCAGAAGGAATTGGAAATATCTTGGCCAACTTCTGTATTGGAAAGAGGGAGAGAGAAATTAAATAGTTTTCTGGGGACACAGTGATGTATTTTGTGTTTATTAAAGCAATTATTCTTGTAACTGGACTTGATGATTTTGGTAGGATTTATTTATATGAGATTTGCAAGTCCAGGATTTATAAGCAGGTCATTTAAGCCAAGTGGTTCAGTGTTGCATTAATTCAGATATTTTATATCAGATTTAAAGAACCTCTGTGTAAGTAGTTGGGAGAAAGAATTAATGAATTGTTGTCTCTCTGGTGATTAAAGTAGAAGATGAATAAATTGTATGAAAGGAGCTCAAGTAGCTGGCCTTCTTTCATACTTGGGAGAAATTTTTTCAGCTTCAAAGGAATGAGGAGACTGTCCATCCTCTTGCTCACCTATTTGTTTTCTTAGCTTCTATGTATACTTAATTTTTGAAGATCATAATACTAGCAAGTATTATCATACTGGGTCCTTTTTTTTAGGATATTGCCAAACATACCATAGCAATGATATAGAAGAGATACATATCCTGAAATCAGATACTTTGAATTATCTAAGTAACACTAAAATAGTTATTCTGGTTAACTCTCTGTATCTAGATAAAATCTCAGATTTATTCCAAGGCAATTTTGATATGTCAACAGACAGCTGAACATGCAGTATCAGTAAGAAATGCCAGATCCCCACTCAGAACAACTCCTAAGAAATAAGTCTTCATGGCTTTTTGAGGTTGATTCATCCATTTGAGTCCTTATGAGTCCTTAACAGGAAAACAGCAACTCAGTCACACAGAGTTATTTTAGTTAATGTTAATACTGTAGTTAATGTTAATATTAGATAGTTGGCAAATTTTCTTGTATTACAGTGATACTGCGACCCTGTGCCACGTGCTCTAGGTGTCCCTGCGTGTGCAGGGGGGTTGGACTAGATGATCTCTAGAGGTCCCTTCCAACCACAGCCATTCTGTGATACCCATGACAGTAGAAAGAGAACTGTGTACTTTTTATTAAATAGTCAATTTTCATAGTTGAAATCCGATAAAGCTTATAGTATCCACTTACTTTCAGGATTCTGATTTTTTTAATGATTTACAATTATGTTTTGTATTATATCTGAATAATAACTATATATATATGTAGATACCCGTAACATTTTATGTAGGAAATATTATTGAATAGTGTACATATAAGTAAGTTATTTATAGGTCACTCTTGCATAGTATCTTTTATCTAGTCTGTTTTATATTGGGCTCTGTATCTGATGGGCACGACAGGGAGGAAAATGTTAATACAGAAGGGAAAAAGATCCTTGCATAAAATCTGAACTTACCTTTATGAACTTGCCATGCAAGTAATCATTAATTATTGGATTTGTTGACTATTGCTTCTGTAGTTGCTAGAGAAATTTTGCCATTTTAAACAGCTTCCAAAAGAATTGTCTCTCAGTCCTTCAAATGTTCACTGGTAAACATCAGTACAAACTGATGAAGTCAGTTCATAAGAGACTTTGTCCAAACAAAAAAAAATCCATTATAAAATTGAGATGAAGCAGGATTTCCCCAAGCAACAATCACCACATGGCTGTGGCACGCCAGTGGTTTGGTGCTACCTGCTCTGCTGCAGGAGGATGTCACCTCCAGGGTTTATTCAAGAAACGAGCCTGCCAGATGCAGTGTCATGTCCTGTTATCGCTCTCCATGATGGGCCTTGAAGACTCATCTGCTATGTAGAGCAGAGCAATCTGATGGCCAGGTGCATACGTTGCACATGGCATCGTGGCAGGATGCTGTCTTTGGAGGTCTGCAGGGCATCAGCTGCATCAAATAGCTCTCTCATGGGATTCTTCAGTCCGTTATTTTAAACTCTGCATGAGGTAACCAACCAAAAGGAATTATCTGTATGTCTGAATTAAGTAGAGTAGATGTCTTCTCCTGTTCCTGGGGAAGGGGATGATTTGTGGGAGATCTCGCATATCTGTGAATCTGAAGTTCTCTTTGATCTATAGCATTTTTGACAGAAGATGTTTCCATGTATGATTCCTACAAAGTAATTTTCTCCATACATTTTTCTGTATTTGGAATTACTGTCTTGTATATGGAACTGCAAAATTCTTCATATTCGTTTTATTAGTGGTGGGGACTATTTTTCATTCTCAAATCATTAGTTAAAAAGACACAATGCCCGTTAATATCTATATTTTATGTTCATCATAAAACAAATAGTTTAATTTATGTTTAGTCTTTATTAATGTGGTGATCATCTCACTTTTCTTCCTTGCAAAGACACTCTTATGGAAAAGGGATTGACGGTATTGCATATGTGCGATTTGGCATAGTGGATGAAACTGAGAAAAAAATCTTTCTTACAGGCCTGGAACAGCAGCTCTCAGTAAGTACCAGAGTCTAATGAAATTGACTTATCCGAGGAGGACCGAATGTTATCAAAAGTTGTTAAAATATGAATCACTGTCCATGTCCAACTATTTCCTAGTTTTGCTGCTATGAGCAACAATTTTAAACTGTAGAGTCAAGAGAGCAGAAAAGGGAATCATTTTTTTCAACTTTTTTTTTTTAGATCCAAAAAGGAAAAGGACGAGTGACTTTAAGTACGCCCATTCTGGAAGAGAAATTAAAAAAGAATATTTCCGCTCTCGAAGGGTTTCGTTTATATATCGCTGTTACAACTGTAGAAACTGCAAGTGAGTACACTACGGTTTGGCTGATAAACCCTATAATATTTACATAGATCTTTCTCTAATGTAATCCTTCACATGGGAAAACTTGGCTCATTGGACAAATCTTCCCTGCAAAGCTTGCTCATGCTGCATCATAGTGCACCATATTCTCTATTCTCTGATTCCTTTCCAAACACTCATATGAATATTTGCCTGTTGCAATGCTAAGCACCTTGGAAAGGTCATCACATACCTTAGCACTACCTCCAAGGATGCTGAGTTGAACTGAATGCAGCAATCAAGGGGCTACTGAGTTGTTACAGGTGCTATTACTACTCATATGAAGCTAACATGAGAGCTGTTACTTGAGTGTTGATCACTGAAGTTAAGTCTGCCATGAAGCTGACCCTTCAAACATGGCCAAGATCTTTCCTATTGCTGTCTAATAGAAACTGGTCCCCCATCTGTCTATATCCAGCTTTTCCTTTTTGTACAACTGAAACTTTTTGAGTGAGGGTCATCTTTTAGTTGCCCTACATTGCTTAAAATGCAATTCATCTTGAAATTAGAAAGCAGGGATGCTATATGCAGGCATGTAATTGTGGCGCTCATGGAAAAACATGCTGCTTGATATTAACAGGTGGTGAGATCAGGGAGGAAGAACTCAGTAATGTGAAGTTTGTGAAATCTCCTTACATTGTTGATCTGTCCAACACCAAAAAATATTTTGTGCCTGGAGCCCCCTTCTCTGTTTTGGTATGTATTATTTAGCCAACTGTGTCTGCTTTCCTCTGCACAAAGAGATTTATATCTGCTCAGGCTACAAAACCTTTATTAAAACCTGTTTAGGAGAAATACCTGAAGAAGTAGTTCCAACATGGAGCTAGTGTTTTGTATTTCTGTTTTGTCTCCTTCTCTACACACAGAACCCTCAGAGGGAAAGGAAGCCTGAAAATACTGTGGTTCTTTTCTGGAAACTATGCATAAACTGTTGGGGTTTATTAGCCTTGTAACAGCCTCTTCTTCACTTCCATATCAAAAGACTGGAATAATAACATTGTAGATTAACCCTATATCAAATTAAATTTCTGAAACTAAAATACATAACATTGATTTTTTAAAATGTCACTGAAGTTTTTGAGTTTTCAGACTTGCATGTTTTCAGGCTTTTCTACAAAGAAGTTTTACACAAAAAATTAAGAACAGTTTTTACCTGAAAAGTAGTTGAAGACTGAAGTAGCTGGGAGCTGCTAGGGTCTAATGCATGCTAAATGAGGATGTGGGGCAGCTGTCAATCTACACTCACAGATTTTCATGTTGGAGTCCAGACTGTATCAGCTGCTACCCCTTGTCTCAAAGCACAAATTTTTGCATGGTCATATGTGTAGTTCCATATTTCCTCTTGGTTTATAAAAATATTTTCTCTCATTTGGGGGCCTTTTAAAAAAAAAAAATGCAGGCATTTTCTTGAAGTAACTGAAAGGACTTTTTTTTCCATTAGGCATCCGTCACTCTGACTGATGGGTCTCCTGCTGCCTCTCTGCCTGTCACTGCTACTGTTACCTCATCTGGAACCTCCCCAATGAAAAATACCGCACTTTCTAATAAAGAGGGTCTGGTTCCCTTCACATTCAACATCCCTGGAGATGCACAGATGCTTCAAATAAAGGTAAAAAAATAATAATTTTTAAAAATACATTGTTGAGAAGAGTTCATAAAACAATTACAAATGAAATGTTCCATTTTCATTAAATTAGCATATAGAGTAGAAAATAATTTCTTATAATATCTCCAAAGCTTTCTCAAACCTGTATAAAGTATGCTGTACAAGTGCATTAAGGAGTACTTGCATGGGTGGTGATACCTTCTTGTTTTTTTCAGATGTGTATTTTCTAGGTATGTAGTATAGGAATCATGCTATCCAGGATATAACCATGAGGAAGCACAGAAAAGGATAAGAAAAGAATGAAGCAAAAGTTCCCAAGCAATATAGACTGAAGGCTACATCTGAACACTCAGATGGTTCACTTATGTGCATAACAGAGAGAAAAAAAAAAAAAAAAGCTGTCGTAATACCCCTTAGTGATTTGGAGCCTTTGATTTTGATTAAGAAAAAACCATCCCTGGAAACTATCAAATACACATGCAGAAATAGACAAAGTAGGGTGAGAGAATAAAGCAAAGAAAATCATGGTTTTATGATGCCAGGTTCTGCCAATGAAGTCTCAGTGGTGATTCAACTCAGATCCCAGCACTTGGAGAGAGATGAATTATGAGTGAAGCCTTATACTGCCTCTTGAGTGACCTTGTACTTGTCTTCCATCACAGGTAAAGGCTGAAGAGGGAAAAGAAAAATTAGAATCACCTGAAGCCAGCATCCGAGCTGAAAGATACAGGTCTGATACTCGCAACTACCTCAGCATCAGTGTCCCACATACAGTCTTGGCACCTGGAGATACTTTACGTGTTTCCCTGAATGCTGTTCATCCGTCTGGCAGTGGAAAGATTGACTATTTCTATTATATGGTAAATAGGTTATTAGCATATTAATAGTTTGAGGGGTTTTTGTTGTTGTTGCTTTTTTTTTTTTTTTTTTTTTTTTTAAGCAAAATAAATATAAATACTTTTATTATTGTTATGTATACTTCTGTTATTATATTCTAAAATAATTTTTAAAAAGGGTATCTGTGAGCAGGTGAATGCAGTTATGCTTCAGTTTGGAGTTATAAAGCATCAGAAATGTTGGAAAATTTCATTTTTATTGAAAAATGAAGTCCTTAGCATTCTTTGCTAGAAAAGCATATCTGAGAAAGTTTCCAAAGAATGATGGCAGAGACTATGTCCTTCTGTAGGACATATTGTACTTGAAAAAGACAGAAAATATGGTTTTAGAGAGTTAAATTTCTCCCTTCAAATATTTAGATAATAAAAATCTAATCTCTAATTGTCAAAATAGCCCTTTCTTAACTTATCAAATAACAAAACGCCATTTAAATCAGGTTAGCATTTTTATTAATGGTTCTGCTAAGTGAAAAAACACCGCGGTTATTTCAACCAAAACTACAGAAGCGTCTACATCAGGTACGCACCCAATCTGAAAACATCATGTCAAAAAATTAAAACGGGACATGTAAAGGAGACAATCCTATTACAGACTGTATTAAGTCAATTCTTTTATATATTAATGGATTGTTTTTTCCCGCATCTATTTTATGGTGATTTTGTTTCCATCAGAGAATAAGAGTATGATGTTGAAGGCCATAGTTCAGCAGAGCTCTTATGCATAATTTTAATCCCCATTGATGCTTAAGTCCTTTTGAAACATAGGACTGAATATCCCACACAGACACACAAGTTTTTGAGCCTTCTCTTACTTGCCCCAGTGGGAGATGCCTGTATCTATATTTCTCAAAAGGCAGGATCCCAAGCGGAAACTCTGTGAAACACAATGTCCCCCAGTCTCCAACCACTGACAGCCACAGTTGAAAGTATTCCCTGGCCCAAAAGTATTTGCATTTATTAACAAATATGACATTTTTGTTTACATATTCTCTCTTTAGGTTAAAGTGAGAACAGAACGTGAGAGATATGAACCAACAGACAACATCAATTTACTGATTGAAACAGACCATGAAGGAATAGTTGCCTTAGCCGTGGTTGACAAAGCAGTTTTTATTCTGAACAAGCGAAATAAGCTTACATCCAGAAAAGTAAGAAAAGTATTAACTGTATAATCAAAGTTTTGATAATCTTAGCAAGGTTTTTATTCTTGCAATTTGCAACATATTTAAGACCAGCTACATGGGGGATTTCGATTCTGTGACAGAGTGTTTATAAATTAACATAAATTAACTGAAATTATTCCCCAGCTAAAACTTTCCTCAGCTTTCCTCTCAATATTTAAGTGTAGCTTGTACCACTACCTCTTCTACTTTGTCTTTTCTCTATAGGAAACTGCCCAGTATATTACAATATTGTTTTTATACAGACAGAAAAAAAAAAGAGAGAGAGAGAGAGAAAATTTACAAACAAGCGTCATCCACCTGTGCTTTTTATTTGGCAGGTCTTTAATGCCATGAATTCCTACGATCTTGGGTGTTCTGCGGGTGGTGGTGCAGATAGTGCTCAAGTTTTTACTGATGTTGGTCTTGCCTACTTATCAGACACAATTAAATCCAGTCTGCGGGATGGTAGGTGCAATTTGTCCTTTATTTTAGACATTAGTACAAGATCACAGCCTATCATCTGGGGTGGGTTGACTGTTTAAAATTTAATTTACAAAAATTTTTATTATTGTACTGTTGTGAGACTTCTCTTCTGTGTGGCTATTTCTTTTTCTCATCTTCCACCGAATGCCACCAGTTCAGGTAGCTCAGCTCTTGGCTGTTTGTCCTTTGGCACCTAGTTCAGGTAGGGCAATCAGGGCTATAATGTAACTCTGCTCACTGTAGGTGTTTTGTGGATGATCTGAGATGGGTCTGCTCTGACTTACCTGGTCAGACACTTAATATGATAGTATCATAACCAAAGCTTTCTATTCTGCCTTCCCAGGCTATAAATGCCCCCAGAATACCAGAAGGCAGAAGAGATCACTGGATTTCCAGAAGATAACTTCAGGAATTTGTATGTCCATGTAGGGAAGTGGCAAAGGGAAGTGGCTGGGATTTAGCTGGCAAGAAGTGATGGGATTGTGTGGGACACCAAGATACTCATAGCCTCAGTTCTTGTGTTACATGATATAACCTCATACAAAGGTGTATAAAATTCCCTGTAACCTGATGCATTTATCAAAAAAAAAAATCAAACAGAACCAACAAAAAAATGGTCTATCTGTAAATGGAAACTCATTCACCATCTCCTAAGTCCAAAAGCAAAGTTCTACTAGATATCGTGTCATAGAATGAGATGGCTTTATAATCTTCAAGATCTGTATTTAAGAGGAAGGTTATTTTTTGAGAATTATTTTTATGGCTAGAATTTGTTTTCTAGGTCCCATTTTTCTGTGACATTCTGCCTCCAAAATTGTTCCAGCTTTGTCACTTAGCGCTCCATCTTAAAAAAATTAATTAATTAAAATGAAAAATAAATGAAATTAATATAATGGAATTAAATACATTTTTAAAAAGCTTTCTCTTAGATCAGTTTGCACAAATTGATATTTTCTTGTCAAAAGACACCGCACTTGAAGGCAGCTCTTCTGAATTTTGAAACTGATCACTTTCTTCAACAACAGTGCTATGACTGTTACCATCAAGATATCTAATTCTAATGCATTAAGAAGACATTTTTAATTCACAGTCTCCACGTGAAAAAAAAAAAAAAAAAACTTAAACTGCCATCTCTAGGACAGGGTAAAAGTCCAGATTTTGCTCTTGTGTTCGGGTTTTATTTTTTAGGATTAACACAGGTCCCCAACTGCAGCTAAACTACTGCAATACCAGTCAACATTAACTGCAGGGAATGATAGGAATAAATACGATGAACACCTTTCTCTCTACTGCTGATTCCACAGCACTAATCCTGGGCTAAATTATGTTGCAGATAACAAATATGAAGACCCTGCTCTACGAAAATGTTGCCGCGATGGAATGAGATTAAATCCCATGAAGTTTACTTGTGATAAAAGGCTAACGAGAATTGCTGGTTCTGCTGAATGCCAAAAGGCTTTCAAGTTCTGTTGTGAGAAGGCTACAGAACTCAGGAAGGAGCTGGTGGCGCGAAGAACTCGAGTTGGATTGGCACGAAGTAAAGATTGGTGAAATGCCACTATCGAAGGAAAATATCCTTCCTTCCAGGGGCAGGGGAGAGCTAAATGGGGATTAAATGCTGAAAGAGAGGGAAGAAGTTCTCATATGAGGGTCTGGTCATTTCCACGTGCCCCTCTCTAGTTGTGTCAGTACAACGGAAAGGACAGCAGACATTGAAGGTGAGAGAGGATGACTTCTTGGAGTAAGAAAAGGCAGAATTGCTTTAGCAGCCTTTGACACCAGAACTGTTTCATCATGGAGCTATTGGACTCTGCCCATACCCTGAGGGTGCAAATGGCTGAGCAGAGAAATGGGGTGATCTCTGCTCACGACGCTGAGCAACTTTGTCTTTCTTGAGTGTTTTACTAGTTTTCTTTTTTACAGATTTTCTAATTCTAGTTTCTGTTTTACAGATTTTGATCTTCATGAAGATGAAGTGTTTGATGAAACTTCCATTATCTTGCGTAGTTATTTTCCAGAGAGCTGGTGGTGGAATTTAAAAGAATTGAAACATCCTGGGAACCATAGGTAATCACCTGAATAGATCAATCTACCTTTATTTGTATAATAAAATCTATACTTACATCAGTTTTACATATTATCTGGTACAAAGAATTCAGAAAATTTGCAACAATTTTGTTTCCACTACTGAGGGAATACTTTTTACTTTATAATCCTCAAATATTTGGTTAACATTTCATGCGTTCTTTTTAACACACTTTATTTTGTGCTTCTTAGCATAAGAAGTGTTGTTCCTGACTCTATAACTACTTGGGAAATTCAGGCAATAAGTATATCTCCTCAAAAAGGTAAAATATTATTACTGTTATTTTATTGGTTTGCTTTGTACTGATAAGTAGAGAATATTTATTATTTAAAACATGCAGATGCAGTGCTAATCTGACAGAGCTTGACAGAGTGTCTATATTGCCAAATGCAAGGTCTTTTGACCAGGTTATTTAATCCTGGATATATGCCATATCAAAACTCAACTACAAGTTAAGAGCTACATATATACGTATATAAAGAAAACAAGGTGAAGGCGCTTTTGGGAGATACCTGTCTCCTGCACGTGACCTTAGAGAAACCCTAACATTGAGCTTTGACTGGACACCTGATTTTCTAACAACTACTGGTGTGTTTAATTGTCAGCTCTGTCTTTTTTTCTTTCTTTCTTTCTTTCTTATCCCAGGTTTTTGTATAGCTGACCCTCACACTTTTGAGGTTTTCAAAGACTTTTTTATATCCCTGAGATTACCATACTCGGTTAAAAGACATGAACAACTAGAAATAAAAGCAGTGATTTACAACTATCTGCCTGAAGATCTCCAGGTAGTATTGCCACTGACTACTGTGCTATACAGATCTAGCTAGCTATATAACTATCAGGATAATAAAAATGACCTGACTGCCATTCATTGCCCTCCTAAAACCTGAACACCATGCTCCTGTTTTGAAAGTTTCGGCCAGGATAGGGTCCAGGTCTGCTTGTCGGTCATACTTGCTGTATACGACAGATTTCATTTACTGTATTACGCAGCCAAATTCCATGTCTTCTGGACGCATATTCTCCCACACATTATTGAAACAACAAGCTGCTCTTTTGCTATTTGCCAGTCTTGGCAGCACACAGCTACCGCTGTGCTCAGGGCTCCCAGGTTCCTTGGGCTGATTCTGCTTCTTTTACCTCAGGCCCAGCTGGCTGGCATCTTCTTCTGAACTGTGTTGAAAGGAGCAGACCGAGAAGAGCGTACTATCCTTCTTACTTCCCTGTAAGATCCCGTCAGGGATCTTTCAAACCTGTGTTGCATATTCCATGCAATGGATAAATATTAGCTAATTTACCTTCACAGCCCTCCTCAGTGTTGATGTGTGTTAACAGGCCATAGGATTATAGGAGAATTCGGATTCGTGGGACCTCTGGAAGCCTGCTAGGGGAGGGTGCAGGCTACTCAGGGCCTTGCCTAGTCGAAGAAAGGTGGAGAATAAGAAATCTGAGGGAGCTAAGCGGAACGCAATTTCTGTCTTGCAGAATTTCTGTCTTGCTCTTTCTGTCTCGCTTTCTGAGCTCAAGCCATGTGTCTGCAGGTCACAGTGAAGATGGCTGCAGAGAAGGGGCTGTGCACGGCAGAGACAACAGAAAAGTCTGTACAGCTGAAGCTGACGGTTGTAGGGAACTCGGCTACACCGGCCTATTTCTCAGTTGTTCCTCTGACTGTGGGAGAAATTCCAATTACCATCACTGCTTTTGACCCAATTTCTGGGCACAGTGATAGCATTAGGAAGATCCTCAATGTTGTGGTAAGTATAAGTAGCAGAGGGCAGGCACATCATTAATACCAAATAAGATTATGTCTTATGTGCAAAGATCTTGTGAAGAGAATGAAGTCCCAGAAACATAAGGTTGGGTGCAATCATCTCAAGCAATCTAATTCTCATCAAGGAGTGAGAGGATGCTATAGCACAGGGAAGAAATTTCACCCTGGGGTGGGCTTGTGACTACTGCATATGGAAAAAAATATGCCACAAGGCAAAAAAAAAAAAAAACAATTGTTACATCTCTCTTTTTTTTTTCATGCAGACAATGGTTCTTGCTTATCTGTATGGTCTTTAGCTTCTGTATGCTTCATCAATACTTAAAAAAGGCCTGTTTTTTTTCCCTTATGAACCCAAGCTTGAAGTTGTTCATCATAAGGTTGGGCACAATCATCTCAAGCAATCTAATTCTCATCGAGGAGTGAGAGGATGCTATAGCACAGGGAAAAAATTTCACCCTGGGGTGGGCTTGTGACTACTGCATATGAAAAAAAATGTGCCACAAGGCAAAAAGACAACACTCTCTCCATTCAATTGTTACATTTTTTTTTTCATGCAGACAATGGTTCTTGCTTATCTGTATGGTCTTTAGCTTCTGTATGCTTCATCAATACTTAAAAAAGGCCTTTTTTTTCCCTTATGAACTCAAGCTTGAAGTTGTTCATCTGCTGATATTTTGAGAGGAAGATTGTTTCTGCTAATCATAGTATTTAACCCTGTTGCATAGGTGGAGAACATAAAGGCAAAGAATGGTGCTGTATTATTTATTTAATCTTCCTGCTCTCTTTTTAAGTAATGAAAATGAGATGTCACTTTCATAAGTCAGGGCTGAGCAGCAGAGACTCATTGCAGCACATCAGAAGTACACTGAGGGCCACATTTAAATTACACAAAAACAGAAGTATATGTCTCATGCACCATTAATGTGAAGGAACAGTATCACCAGTAAGGATAAGGCTAAGAGTGTTGGGAAGCTGTTGTTACAAACCATAGCTTTTCTAGAGATCGACACAGTCTCAGAATTTGGTGCTATACCAGTACAAAGTCAGATCTTGATGAACTTCATAGAAGAGCAGTGTATAAATGAAATCCTGCTGATAACTTGACTTGCATGGTACACTGAGTCGAAAATAAACTTTAAGGTTTCATTCTTCTGGGTTATTTTCGGTTTGCTGTATTTCGTCCAGAGAAATGTGTCAACAATAACAAAAAAAGTCAGTAAAGTTCATTAGCATTTCATGTGGGAGACTGAAATTCTGATTTCAAGTTTCAGTTTTACCTGGGAAGAAATCTCACTCCAAAACAAACTATATCTGCCATCTGTTGGTTAGTAAGGACTGGGACCTTGTTTTCACGTAGCTTATTTTCAGGCGTGAAAGCCTACAAGAGATATGACTTTTTTTTTCCCCTCAATTTTACAGGCTGAAGGTGTTTTACAGAGAGAAGAGCAGACCATTTGCATTAATAATGACTGTAAGTTACATAGAAAAGTGAGATACGGATGAGGTTTGGAATAGGGAGCAGTTTTTCTACGGCTTTGTGTGAACATTCAACAAGTGTGAAGTATTCCTTAACACAAAAAGGTTGCTTTGGGTTGACAGAAACCTGTCACAAATCTCTTTTCCCATAAAATGTCAAAGCTAAATCATTTAATTCTAAATTTTTAGAATAGATTTGTATTATTTCTGTGTTTCAGTGTATCATTCTTTTATTATTATAGCGTCTTAATCAAATGGTTAAAAAATGAAATTAAATTCCTCATGTTGCTCCAACAAACACTGTGGATGTCTGAAAATTAAATAAACATATGCAAGATAAATATCTTTTTTTTCATAAATTTCCATGTAACATTTTTTTAATGTTTCTGTCATAACTGCAGTCAATTGTAAGACATTTCATGAAAAGCCTATTCCCAAATTACAATGTTATTTTCATTCAACCAGATATAAGTCTTTATTATTTATCCACAGTTAAATCCCATACTCTGGACCTGAAAAAACCAGCTAATATGGTACCAGATTCTGACAGTCATGTATTTATTAGCCTGAAAGGTAAGTGCACTTTAATTCTATTGACTCCTGAACTCTTCGTAGCTATTCTTTCTTAGGTTTTCTGCCATGATCCAAGTATCTTGTGCTATGTGTCTAAGTCATAGATAAAGACAACCGCAAAACTGCTCCAATGCTTTACCCTTTCTAATTACTCCTCACCCCTGGAAGTAGATAATAGCTTCATGCAGTCCATTCTGCCTCCCTGTGCCCAAATTAACTATGCCAGAGCCAGAGAATGAGGAAGGTATTCATCTACTTAACCCTATTAACCCTACACAACAAATAGTCCTTTTGACACTCCACTGAATTCTTCAGAAATAAAGATGTCAGATTCTGATCTATAAATTCTGGAAAGGTCTGTTTTTTAAATGAAAAATATCTATAATCATATATTCCTTTGATCAAATGCATATATACATGCATACATTTATTAATGAAATCTGGCATCAAATATACATATTAATTTTAAAACAAAATTCCCTAGGAACTATAATATAAAGGCTGTCTACTTCCAATCCCCATTCCAATCCCCATTCTAAAGTCCCATACTCTAAAGAGGGATGCTTGAGCTCATCAAATAATAAAATAATAGAAAAAGATGCTCCAAATGTCTGACATGTTTAGGGCCATATTCTTTGTGCCCTGTGGGAGGAACAAATCTGGTTTGACAAGAATTACCCAGTCTGAACCTGAGGCACCAGCCTTTCTCCCTCTTCTTGCTTCTCTGCCTCCAGTAGCCCCAGGACTTTCTCTCTTGTGCTCCTTCCTTGCCTCCTTCCTCCAGCATTCCAAGGACCTGTTCTCTCACTCTTGCTCTTCTCTAGCCTTACAGAGTGATAACTAGCTGAAAATAGTGTTTTGTAATTGGAAGTGTAGGCCTTGCTAGAGTGTCAACCTAAAGTAAGTATCGCATTTTATTCATTCTGCAACAGACAGCTTTAAGTAGCAGTATTTTGGCATATGTCTTTTACTACAGGGGGTATTATGGGTGACTCCACGGAGAATTGTCTTACTGCTGATGGAATTGATAAGCTTATCCAGTTGCCAAAAGGCTGTGCAGAGCAAACAATGATGAAAATGGCCCCTACAGTCTTCGCTATTGAGTACTTGGATGTAAGTGGCCAGTGGGTGAACCTTAATCCTGAACGGAAGGATGAAGCCATTAGGATGATTGAACAAGGTATGCAAGGGGAAAAAAAATCATAAAGCAGCCTATACTGGCTTGTTATTCTTTTCATTGAATATTATGCCTTGTTCCTTGAGAAAGGACTGAGCATTACCTTAATACAGCCATGCAAAAGTACCATAAGTACTACTGACAATCTGTAGACAGACACAAAAAATAAGATTTAGGTGTCTAACTTCTTACATGTGACATTCCAGTAGTATTGGCAGTCACAGTCACCTCTCTCTCCTGACTAATTTAGAAGCAGGATTCCTTGGATCAAAGGAAGAGCTGAACTGATCACTGTCATCTCTCTTCATAGTTACTAAACAGAAAAGGGCAGTTGCAAAGCGTGAATCATTTCATCCTGATATATAGCTGCAAAATGGGCCATGTCCTAAAAACACCTGGTTCTCCCCTGCGCTGCAGAAAGTGCTTAGCATGACCAGCTTAAATGCACATGGCCCTGCTGCAGGTGTCTATCTTTGGCCAGAAAACCATCACTAAGGAAAGTCCCAATGGGAGAGACAACTGCTCTTACAGTCATCCATATTTACCGCATGCGCGAGAACGGCTCTAACAACAGCCTTGGATCAAACCAGGGATGGAGTTTCCTTCAGGAGAAGGCAACTGTAACGCTGCTTCTTGAAGAGCATTAAACATTGCAAGTCCATCCACAAATGGTGTTTTATACACCACAAAGCCAGGGTCATAGCACATGGAAGTGGAGATGTTCCAGGCAGGAACATCTGATATAGCAGGTACAGCTGATCTTTCCAAATTATAACGGTGTGCATATGGCTTAAAGCAATATAATGCACCTATGAGCTTCAGATCCTATGCAATACAGAATTCATCAATGAAGAGTAAGGATAAAAATACAGATGAAAAGCGCACGCCAACAGTTACAGTGTAGAGGCCTTTAGTCATTTGCCTAAGGTTGCCTAAAGCAAAATAAGATCCTGCTGATGAATATTGTTATTATCAACTGTATTCAGTCCCTACATTATCTTTTAATGACACTTACTAAAGAAGTTCACTGGGACAGAAAAAGAGTTTTATAGAAACTATAGAGACTTTCCCATACAGATTGTATGGGAATAAGTTCTCCAAGATTCACCATGCAGAAAATGGCTTGGTAATCACATACCTACAACTGTCTGCAGTTTTCAGGTTCTTCTCGTAGCTCGCCTTAGAACAAACAGCATCTGCTGGGCTTAGATTTTCATCTGTTTAAAAAGTCAGCTAACCCAGTCATTTCTTCTTTACCGTACTAGAGAACAGCTTCATGTACTTTTCCGCTGGTCAATACTTCATGTCTTCTTGTTAAGACAAATGCTGTATGGAAATGCCTGACAAATGTTCGTGTTCTCTGAACAGTATATACGCTGTCCTGTTCATACAGGTTATACTAGGGTGCTTGAGTTTCAAAAAGATGATGGTTCCTATGGAGCATTTAAATCAATCCCCAGCAGTGTGTGGTAAGTGTATTTTTCACAGTCAGCCTTTTTATTCCTTTATTTTAAAATATAATTTTATGTATCAAAATATATAAATATTTTATATTTATATAAATAAATATAAATATTTATATAAATAAATATAACTTGATGTATCAGAAGTTTTGTTTGAGGGATTTGGACTTGATTTTCAGAATCTGGTGGGCATGGTATTGCCTATGTATTTTTGTCACAGATGGTCAGCCATGTAAATCTCTAAGCAGGTTTAGTCCTTGATAACAGAGGCGTATATATAGCCATGGATTAATTTGCATGTGGGACAGGTAGGAGGGCTTGCACTGTCATGGCAGCTATGATGGTGCATGGGTTCCCAGGAGCTCACTGGGTTGCATTTGAGTCTATGTACAGAATATGGTCATCCAGACATGTCAACACAAGTTTGTAACTTTTTTTTTTCTTTCATGTAGGTTAACTGCATTCATTGTTAGAGTATTCGCAAGATGCAGAGAATACATTAGTGTGGAAGACAGTCACATGCGCAAATCTATTACCTACTTGCTTAATAATCAACAGGCAGATGATTCATTTCACGATCCTCACCCAGTACTTGACAGGAATATGCAGGTGGGTCTTCAGGGGTTTGAAAAATTCATTGCACATTTAGGGTTCTTCGGGATAGAAGGGAATATTCTTGTTTGTTAAGTACCAACTAATTTATCCAAAATAAAAGAAATCAGTAACTTAAGTACAAAACCAGTAATCAGTGATGCAATGCTCTAATAAAGATACAGTATGTCAGAGAAGCATAGCTAGCACTTTAACGCCTGTATTTTTTGATTCAGTCCTGGGTAATTGTACACTTGACCTTGGCCTCCTTAGGCAGATAAAAGTTATTGAGCAAAATGAAAAGGGGAACGCAGGACCTATAGTCAGGCAGTGTAACAAGAGAAGCTTTGAGTCCATGAAGAGTGATTTTTCTAGCTTAAAAGTGTTTATGATCACATTAATAAGCACGTGCATGTATGTTTAATTTTTCCTTTACATGTGTCATCTTTTAGGGTGGCATTAAGACAGCAGAAGAGGATCTGGCTTTGACAGCCTTCGTAATCATTGCATTGCAACAGTCTGTACCTGTTTACGATGAGCCAGCGGCTGTGGTAAGAAGAATGACTTTTTGTGCTTAAGCCTGAAAGCCATTGAACAATGGCACATCCACCCTCCTCTTAAAAGTATTGCGAGAGTGTAAAGACTACTTAAAGTACTGCAAGTGGAAAGGGAATAGTCTGTTTACTGCATCAGAAATGGGCAAGAACAGATACTGAACAGACTTAAGGGCAAGTGCAAGGTCCTGCACCTGGGGAGGAATAACCCCAGACACCAGTACAGGCTGGGGACTGACCTTGTGGAGAGCAGCTCTGCAGAGAAAGACCTGGATGTCATGGTGGACGAGTTGACCACGAGGCAGCAGTGTGCCCTCGTGGTCAAGAAGGCCAGTGGGATCCTGGGGTGCGTTAAGAAGAGCATCTCCAGCAGGTGGAGGGAGGTGATCCTGCCCCTCTACTTAGCCCTAGTGAGGCCGCATCTGGAGTATTGTGTCCGGTTCTGGGCTCCACAGTACAAGAGGGATGTGGAGCTGCTGGAGAGAGTCCAGCGCAGGGC